CCCTCCAACAGCCGCCACCTACCCCCCAGCCTGAAGGCCTGAAGGCCCTCAGAGGAATCACCATGGGGGCAGTGGGGGTGGGAGAAAGGTCCTTGGCAAAGTCAGCTCAGGCCACCTCACCCCTCCCTCCCACATCCCCTCCTCTGCTTGCTCCCACCCCAGGCCCCTGGATGGACTCTCTGAGCCCAGGGAGGGCTCTGGACCCTGACCTCAGGCTGGGTGCCACATCTGTGCCCCACTGGGTCTCTTTTCTTTCCCTCTCTCCCCTTCTAGGAGAGGAAAGCCAGGAAAAAACCTCAAAATATTATCCTCGCTTGCTCGCTTATCTTTCGGGGTATTAATCAATCCTAGGCCCCGAATCAAGGGACAATGATTTCCCTAAGACTGTTGGGGTGATGGGATGCATGGGCCAGGCTAGGTCCAAAGGCTAGTCCCTCCTCTGTGGGGCTGTGTGGCCTCAGGCAAGTCACTCACCCTCTCTGAGCCTCAGTTATTATTATTATCATTTTTTTTTCTGTTGAGCTGGCCTATAATGGTGTTCACCACGGAGGGTTTGTGGGAGGACTGAGTGAAATGAATGGAGACAGGGTAGAGGGGTGGATGAGTGGGAGGAGGGATGATTGTGTTCCTAAGAAAGCGGGTTCCTTCAACCAGACCTCAGCTTCTCAGAGCCAAAATGGAACAAGCCGTGACCTGGTGTTTCAGGAACCCCTGGCGTCTCTTCCCAAGGCTCACCTTGTCTTTGGAGGCTGTGGGGCTTGAGGCTCATGATGGGGCTGGTTCCCCTCTGCTTCCATCCTAATCGCCCGGAGAGGGGCTGCCGGAGCCCAGATTGGGAGGGAGAACTAAGAAAGGTGTCTGCAGTGGTGCCCGGACAGAGCATCTGACTGTCTCTGGACGCCTCCCACCGGGCTGGGCAGACTCATGTGGTCTCACTGCAGAAAGGAGATTTCGTCTTTGGGGCTGCTCCCTCCCTTCATCTCTCCTTCAGCTCTCTCCTAGGCACTTCCGAACTTGCTGTGTCACCTGCCTAAGATGCTGTAAGGCCCACAGAGAGTTGCTATTCGTTGTTCACTGCTGTTTGCCAAGTTGTATCTGGCTCTCTGCGACCTCATGGACTGCAGCACTCCAGGCTTCCCTGTCCATCACCATCTGCCAGAGTTTGCTCAACACTGTGTCCATCGAGTCGGTGATGCCATCCAGCCATCTCATCCTCTGTCGTCCCCTTCTCCTCCTGCCTTCAGTCTTTCCCAGCATCAGGGCTTTTCCAGTGAGTTGGCTCTTCACGTCAGGTGGCCAAAGAATTGGAGCTTCAGCATCAGTCTTTCTAATGAATATTCAGGACTGATTTCCTTTAGGATTGACAGATTTGCTCTCCTTGCTGTCCAAGGGCCTCTCAGGAGCCTTCTCCAGGACCACGGTTAGAAAGCATACATTCTTTGGCGTTCAGCCTTGTTTATGGCCCAGCTATCACATTCGTAAGTGGCTACTGGAAAAACCATAGCTTTGACTATACGGACTTTTGTGTATCTGGATAAATCTGCCCTGTCCGAATATGGATTTCTACTGACCTCAGTCTGGAAATTACTAATGGTATTTTTTTGTGGGGGAGACATGTGCATTTCTTTGTCCCCAGGGACAATTAGTGGTGAGGACCTCCGTGGTGAAGACGGCCTCCTTGTCTGGACCTCCCCCCTCAGGCCGGGCCGCCTGCCCAGAGCAGCCTTGCTCAGCCCGGGTTTCTCTCCTTCAGAGCTGCGGGTGTCCACTGGGAACCCCAGCTCCCCCTCTTTCCTGGCCTGCTGTCCTCAGAGTCAGTTTCATCCTCGTTGTGTGAATGAGCTGTCTCCCTTGTGCTTTTCCAAGCTGAAATCTGAAATTTGTTGTATATAGTTGCAAAGAACGTCATCTCTAATGTGTTTTAAATACTGACATTTTAAAATAAAATTCTTGTTTCTTTTTTTAATGTGTCCAGTGAAGTATAAAAAAACCTTAACAGTTTGTCTTCCATCTTTTAAAAAAAAAAATAGTAACAAGCTTTACACTAACAGCCCAAAACCATAAATCACAGCTTTTCTCTTTGTATTTATACTCCTCCCACCAGTTTTATCCAAATTTAAGGTAATTTTAACCTTGAAAACCTTTTTTGATAATCTTGTCATAATTCTTTGGAACAAAAACTTTCTATGAACTGAAATATCTTTAAAGTGAATTTCGTGTGACTATTAGCATTAAATATTCTTGCTTTGGATTTTGCTTTCATGAAAATTCTTATCATACACTGTTGATCAAGATACCATGTGTATGATCGTAAATAATGGACTAGTAAAAAGCACAAATAAAATTGCATTGAAAATGAATCTTTTAATTTGAGACATGATTTGAGGGTTTTTTAAAAATTATTTCATATAGTCATTATTATTTATTACTGGAATAATGTGGAATTTGGCCTCCATTTCATTCTTGTTTTCCATTTCTGTTCATGTAAAAGCCAAAAAGCCTATTCACAGAAATAATTAGAAGGACTGGAAGGTTTGTTATGGTGACATCACCCAGGGATTTGAACACCCGCCGAAGTATGTGTTCAAAATCACATGCAACTTATCATCAGAAATGTATTTCCTGCTGTCTGCTGACATGCTAGACCCTTTTTAAAAATTGAATATGATCGCTTAACAATATTGTGCTAGCTTCCGCTGCGCAATGTCGTGAATCAGCGTTACGTATACCCGCACCCCCTCTCTCGTGAGTCTGCCTCCCACGCCCTGTACTGACCGAACTTGTATCCCCTGCATTGGCAGATGGTTTCCTTACCACTGAGCCACCAGGAAAGACCCTAGATCCTTTTTTAAATTTGTCGATAGCAAAGACTCAGAAGCTGCCTGAGCTGGCAAAGGTTTTTTTCGGCCAAGCTGTGTGACCAAGCTCCCCGACCAAGGATCGCACCCAAATCCTCTGCAGCAAAAGCACAGAGTCCTAACCACTGGACTGCCAGCAAAGTCCTGGCAAAGGATTTACCATCAGTCACTGGAGTCACACTTTTTCAGCTTCCTGCTAGCTCATCCAAAGGTCTTTTCACCTGAAAAAGGCCCATTAATTATGCCATTTATTCTTTTACTCAGAGGTACACTGTTAAACCCATTATCATGGAAGGAAAGAAAGAAGAAAAAAAGAAAGGAAATGGGACGCTTGCCGATTTCAAACTGGCTTGGCCCCCGTTACACCCTGGAGTTACAGGTTTCGTTCATCCCACATCAGGAAATTTTCACTATAGACCGACACATCACTAAGGTCAGTCCTTGGGGTGAGAGGTCAGAGTACCATCAGAAGACATCCTACAGATTGTTTATTCTGTAGAGTCTATCTGTTCATTTATGGCCGCCCTGGGTCTTCTGGCTGCATGGCCCCTCTCTGGCTGTGGCGCGTGGGGGCCTCCCTTCGCTGTGGCTTGCGGGCACCTCGCTGCCGCGGCTCCTCTTGTTTCCCCGGAGCGCCGGCTCTAGGGCGCTCGCTCGGGCGACAGCAGCTGTGACTTACTGGGTTTAGTGGCTCTGGCGCATGTGGAACCTTCCTGCACCAGGGATCAAACCCGAGTTCCCTGCATTGGCAGATGGATTCGTACCCACTACGCCACCAGGGACGTCCTAGCTACACTTTTTCAGCCCAGACAAGAGAGTTAATGTGCGTGTCCATAGCAGACTGTCTAGTTTGGACTGGAACCGTGAGGAAGGCCAAAGGCGGACACATCTGTACACAGACAGCAAGGGCCAGATTTCTGCCCTGAGCTGGGAGCCTGCTGACCTCAGGGGTCTCTCTATCAGAAATGCATCTTTGTCCACCATTGGATTCGGGGGGAGGGGGCGGCAAGGTCATGGAATGGAATCGTCCTGTCTCTGGACCTTTGCTCCCCGAGACATCTGCATTCCCAGCTCCCCAAGGCAGGCCACGTTGCTTATCTCCAGACACCCTTGACCCTAGAAGGGGCTGCTTCCAGTCCAGGGAGAGCTGGGAGGAGTGTCGCTTGCTGCTTCCCCTTGTTCCTTTGCTTGCCAGAGGCTTCTGCACCAGACAAGAGCTCCCAGGTGGGTGAGGTCTAGGGCAGGAAATGAGACTTTCTTTCAGGATGTGGAGGAAGGCCCAGTGAGCAGAGCTGGGAGGGGTCCATCCTAGGAGAGTGCAGCTTGGCAATGGGTCTTGTACTCTTGTCTATTCACCACGTATGACCATCCTAGACAGCATATTAAAAAGCAGAGACATCACTTTGCTGACAAAGGTCCGTCTAGTCAAAGTTATGGTTTTCCAGTAGTCATGTACGGATGTGAGAGTTGGACCATAAAGAAAAGTGAGTGCCAAAAAATTGATGCTTTTGAATTGTAGGACTGGAGAAGACTCTTGAGAGTCCCTTGGACTGCAAGATCAAACCAGTCAATCCTAAAGGAAATCAGTCCTGAATATTCATCGGAAGGACTGATGCTGAAGCTGAAGCTCTAATATTTTGGCCAGCTGATGCAAAATGCTGACTCCTTGGAAAACACCATGATTCTGGGAAAGATTGAAGGCAGGAGGAGAAGGGGACGACAGAGGATGAGATGGCTGGATGGCATCACCGACTCAATGGACATGAATTTGAGCAGGCTCTGGGAGATGGTGAAGGACAGGGAAGCCCGGAGTGCTGCCGTCCATGGGGTCGCAGAGAGTCAGACACGAGTGAGAGTCTGACCAGCAGCAGAGGTGATGAGGGCTGGGGCTGCGGCGTGGCTGGGGACGGAGCAGGGGAGTTCTGTGTCCCTTCCCCTCCCGTCCCAGCTAGCCCCTACTCCCCTTTCAGACCCTAGCTCCACCCTGACCTTTCAGAGAAGCCTCGCCTGACCTCTCGAGTGCAACCCCCACCCCAGGGCACAGGGTGGCCAAAGCAAAGCCCAACCTGGGGCTTTAGAGAAGGGAGATGATCTTGGCTCTGGCACTGAGACGAAAGGGGCAGATGGAGGCTCACTGGGACCCCATCCTCACCAGCTCCCATCCTCCACCCACTGAGCCCTCAAGCCCACCGTGTGGTTGGTTTGTGCTCTCGCTGCCTCCAGGCCGGGCCCCCAGTGCTCCTGGGGAGCCCGCAGTGCACCTGCTCCCCTGTGCCCAGGGCTGCCCCCCAGCTGGGGTGCCGGCTGCAAGGGCCGTCTGTGCTTGGCCCTGGGAGAGGAGCCCAGGGTGGGGGCCAGACCTGGGCAGGATCCAGCGACCAGGCTGGGAGCAAGGAAGCTAGAGAAGCATGGCCTGGCCTTGGGTGGGCTGGCCCGGACCCCCTCCCCATTTCACATGGGGCTACAGTTGTAGCAGGCAGAGCACAGCCCCACTGAGTCCAAATGTCTGGAATTGAGCTGCAGGAGCTGCTTGTATATTTTGGAAATTAACCCTTTGCCAGCTGTTTCATTTGCTCTTATTTTCTTCCGTCCTGAGGGTTGTCTTTTCACCTTGCTTATAGTCTCCTTTTGCTGTGCAAAAGTTTAATCAGGTCCCACTTGTTTACTTTTGTTTTTAGTTCCGTTACTCTAAGAGGTAGGTCCTAGAGAATCTTGCTTTGATTTATGTCATCGAGGGTTCTGCCTATGTTTTCCTCTAAGAGTTTTATAGTTTCTGGTCTTACGTTTAGGTCTTTAACCCGTTTTGAGTTTAGCTTTGTGTATGGTGTCAGGAAGTGTCCTAAGTTCATTCTTTTACATGTAGCTGTCCAGTTTTCCCAGCACCATTTGTTGAAGAGGCTGTCTTTGCCTCATTAATTCTGTAAAGCAATTACCCTTCAATAAAAAATAAATTAATTTTTTTAAAAAAGAGAGAGAGACCAGAAAGAAAGGGGAAAAAAAAAGAGTCCGGAAGCCCGTGTTCGTCTGACTCCTGGAGGCAGCTTTCCCTCCAGCTTCGGCCTCACTGGGTACACCCTTGGTGCCCACCCTGTACTGCTCACTGGTCCCTACTCGGGGAGGGAGGGGGGGACGCAGGCACACCCAGCCCCCGGATAGAGTGACGAGGGATTCCAGGCTCCGTACACAACGGGAGGTAGACAGTATCTGCCCATCACCTTTGCTATATTACTGCTGCCCCTGACAAGGGCGTCCAGAGCTTGCTGTGGTCCATTCTCTGGGGCTGTAAGGTCTGTCTGACTACCCCTTTCTCTGGCGGTGAGACCCTTGGGCAGATTCTTCCTCAGCCTTCCCATCTGCAAAATGGGTAACAATGGGGGGAAGATCTGAGGAAAGGCCTAAAGGAACAGACGCTCCATCCGCCTTTGCTCCCGAGCCTCTGACCTCACCCCCGTGGGGCCTGCCCGCCGCCCCGGGCCGGGGTGCTCACCCTCCCAGGGCCGACACAGGCCCTCCCAGGCCCCCGATCATGACGACAAGAGGCCTCTGCCGCCTGCTCCTTGACATCCCACGCGCCTGCCTCTAAGCCCGAGATGCACTTCTAAGCCGGGGCAGACCCAGCCTGCTATTCTGGGGTCTTCTTTCAACTATTTTGGCAAAGACCAAATGGCAGCCTCCTTTAAAATAGATGCTCCCAGCCCAGAGGTCATTCCCCGAGAACCAGGTCAGAGCAGGCCTGGACTTTTTCCCAGCCGCTCATTCTCGTTACACCCAGACCCTGGCATGTATAGCTAGGATGAGGGCCTGACTGAACCTGGGGCAGAAGCCAAAATAAAATCTGGCGGACCCTCTGCGCCTCGGGCTTCTCCGTTTCACAAACGCTCTGCCTTTCTCTGTGAAACCGCAGGGCCGGCCAAGGAGGTGGCCAGGAGGCCAGGGTGAATTGGGATCCAGCCATGGCTGCCCAGCAGCTCCATTCTCAGCCACCCCATGAACACGCATCTGGGAAGAAAAGTCTGCGTCCTGAGTCCTGGGAGGCCTGCATAGCAGCGGAGTTCCTGAACGAGGGCTCTGGTCACTGGGCCTCACTTCTCCTCTGTGTCCTTTGCCAGAGGAGCGAGTTTGCTCACCTGCATCTGTTTGGTCCCTTAAGATCACATCTATCCTTCTCAGGTAGCCCTGGTGGTAAAGAATCTGCCTGCTAATAGAGGAGACGCAGAAGACAGGGTTTCAATCCCGGGGGTGGGGGGGGAAGATCCCCTGGAATAGGAGATGGCTACCTACTGCAGAATTCTTGTCTGGGAAATCCCAAGGACAGAAGATGAGATGGTTGGATAGCATCACTGACTCAACGGGCCTGAGTCTGAGCGAATTCCAGGAGACCGTGAAGGACAGGGAAGCCCGGCGTGCTGCAGTCCTTGGGGCCGCAAAGTGTTGGACACGACTGAGCGACTGAACAACAATAAGATCAGATATGTGTCATGGCAAAGGAGACATAAAAAACAAAAACAGGAAAGAATTCTAACAACAAGATGAAGCTAAGTCAAATTGTACTAAAGATCGCACTCCACCATGTCCCAAAGACGTCACGTTGCAAAACAGCTCGGGTGTGCATCCTGGGACCCAAACGCTGGCCACTGACTAAACTGGTCGCTTCCATTCCTTTGGCTCGAATGGTTTTCCTAAGTATTTTAGCAGTCTTGGCTGTACCCTCCTTCCCACTCTGACCTTGGTAAGACAGTTTTGTGGTGGCACCAGGCCTGCAGGGCAGGGAGCATTTTGCTCATGCTGAGGCTCAGTAAGTCATTCAACAAACCCTGGCTGAAGCCCTGCAGTCGCAGGCTCTGTCCCAGGCTCAAGGATGTGGCAGAGGGGCCTTCACCCTCCCCGCCTCTCAGAGATGCCTCTCCACGGGGAGGAGACCCTGAGCAAGGAGCCCCCCACGGATGGGAGTTTAGAAATGGGATCCAAGGACCTGCGGGTGGGATATGATGGGGGCGAGGGGCCCTGACCTGGTCTGGAGGTCAGGGAGGTGTCCCTAAAGAAGAGACATGCAGTTGACATGAAGCTGCAATCAGGGCGGAGCAGGTGATTCAGGCAGAGTACAAGGCTGGGAGGTGAGACCCAGGGGCCTCTTGTGGGTCAGGGGGGGCGGTGAAGAGCAAACAGCCCAGGGGGGCAATGCCAAGAGCCTGAAGGGACCAGCAGGGCTTTGAAAAGGCCCCAGGCAGGTACGGATGGGGGAACACTGGCTTTTCATTAAAGGCGGGCCCTCTGGCCTCTGTGAGTCCTCCAGGAGTGGGAGGGATTGGGAGATATGGGGGGCGGGGGTCAAAGAACTCCAGCTCAGGGGAAGCAGAAAAGGCTTTACTTTTCACCCACATGAAACCAAACCTACAGGGAACTTGCCTGGGGGTCCAGTGGCTTAGACTCCTTGCTCCTAATGCACGGGCCTTGGGCTCGATCCCTCGTCAGGGACCTAGATCCCACACACCACAACGAGACAGCCTGCGTGCTGCGACTAAGACCTGTCACAGCCAAATAAATAAATAAAAAGAAACATCTTTTTAAAAATAAAATAAAAATAAATAAACCAAACCCTCAGGGCCTTCTGAACCTCGGAGGGCCATCAGCCTGTCTCCTCCCTGCGTGCCTGGGTGGTCCCAAGGGTGCAAGCTGGGCCTGAGAATTCGTCCTTGACCTGCTCACCCTGTGACCAGCCTGGGCCTGCCTTCACTTCAAGGTTGCAGAGTAGGAGAGAGGGGTTGAGCCGCTCAGGGGGAGTAGGGACCTAGGAGGTGGGTCACAGGGTCTCCTGAGCCCAGAAGAGGCATTTTTATCTCAAACGCAATGCAGAGCAGTTGGAGCATTGAAGCCGGAGGAAGGCTCCTTCCTCTCGGTCTTTCTGAGAGCTGGCTGCCACGGCGCAGGGCAGGAGAACGCTCGGTTTTAGAAGGGACCCAGGAAGAAGTATTAGCAGCTCCTGCCGCTCAGCCCTGTGATCCTAGCCTGAGACCTGTGTGGTGCACAGTCACTCAGCCGTGTCCGACCCTTTGTGACCCCACGGACCGTAGCCCACCAGGCTCCTCTGTCCATGGGATTCTCCAGGCAAAGACTGCTGGAGTGGGTTTCCATGCTCTTCTCCAGGGGATCTTCCTGACCCAGGGATTGGACCCAAGTCTCCTGCATTGATTGGCAGGTGGATTCTACCACTAAGCCACCTGGGAAACCCAGGCCAGGAAAACTCTGTTTACCAAAGTGGACGGTGGGCCTGCTCCAGTCTGTGAGTTTCCAGAGCCTTGATGCAGAGGACACACTGGGGGTGTGGGGGGTGGGGAGCCCAGAGGGGATGGAGCCACAAGGAACCACAGGGAAGTTAGCCACAGGATTCAGGGGAAGCCAGAAATCTGAGTTCAGAATCGTGAATACTGGTAATTTTCATCCTCTCCTGGGACCTCTCCCACTCCTAATTTGACAGCACCGCTTTGGACGAACTTGTCTTCACTGAATCTTTCCAAAGCCTTGTTCTTGTGGGCCGTCAGCTCTTTCTTCACCTTTGTGTTCCATCCGTGTGTTTGACACTCCTTAAATTTTCCAGCTGGGCTTCCCTGTGGTTCAGACAGTAAAGCATCCACCTGCAATGCGGGAGACCTGGGTTCAATCCCTGGGTTGGGAAGGACCCCTGGAGAAGAGAATGGCAACCCACTGCTGTATTCTTGCCTGGAGAATCCCATGGACAGAGGAGCCTGGTGGGCTACAGTCCATATTGTCGAAAAGGGTCAGACACGACTGTGTAACTAATACACACACACGCACACAGACACACACACATACACACGCACACACGCACATACAGACACACACGCATGTGCACACACACCCACACACATGCACACATGCACACATGCACACAGACACGCGCACACACACACGTGCACACAGACACACACAGATACATACACATGCACATAGACACGCGCACACACACACAGACACACACAGACACGCACACACACAGATACATACACATGCACACAGACATGCACACACACTGACACACACACATGCATACACACACATACAGACACACACATACATGCATGCGCACACACACCCACACACACGCACACACACACAGACACGACAGATACATACACATGCACACACACACCCACACACATGCACACACACACACATACACACACAGATACATACACATGCACACAGACACATACAGACACACACATACATGCATGCGTGCACACACCCACACACATGCACACACACACAGACACGCACATACACGCACACTGACACACACATGCATACACACACACGCGCACACACACACACACACAATTTCCCAGCTGTCTACAAGCACAGTGGGCCCACGCGACTTGGGAACAAACCCAGCGACGGTTACGGAAGGGGATGGAAGCATAGCAATGGCAGACCTCCGTGGGGCTCGACCTGCTGTGAGCCTCAGTCCCCTCCTACCCTCCTGGTAGGGATTCAGCAAGAACGAGGAAGATAAGAGCCCTGACCTCTATTCACAGGCGCCTTTCAGAGCAGCAAGGGCCTTTGTGGGTGGAAGGACCCTGCTCTTCAAGGCAGCAGAGGGGCCTGGAGCTTCCACTTTAACTCAGGTGCCCCGGGCCTGCTAAACCGGCTTCCTGCCAACCTCAGTCACAGCCCGGGCCCCCTGACTGCGTGGCTCTTCTCCCCAGGACCCAGGGCTCAGTGAGACTGGGATGTTTTGTTTCTCACGAGCCACTGTGGTCCTAGCGGGCAGGGGATGTGGACACGCCAGAAGCAGTGACCGTGCACTCCGAAGGGGCCCAGCCTCTGTCCGTCTTGATCACCCCGCCCGGGAATGCAGGAGCAGAAAGGCCCGTGAGATGGAGGCCCTGATAGCGCTGAGGGGAGGGCCGCTTCCTCCGGCCGGGGGCGCAGGTCACGGTGAGTGGGCCCCCACAATGCAGCAGGGGTGATGGGGCCAGAGCCCAGGGCCCTGACTCCGGAAGCAATTTGATCTGGTCGTTTCCTCTTTTTTTTTTTTTAATTTTAATTTTTTTTATTGAACTATTGAGCTTGCTAAATCTCTTCAGCCATGTCCGACTCTTTGCAAGACTATGGACTATAGCCCTCCCGGCTCCTGTGTCCATGGGATTCTCCAGGCAAGGATGCTGAAGTGGGTAGCCATTTCCTTCTCCAGGAGAGAGTCCTCATCCAGAGACGGCACCTGCGTCTCTTATGTCTCCCGCATTGGCAGGCGAGTTCTTTATCACTAGCGCCCCCTGGAATGAATTGAACTATAGCTGATTTATGATATTTCAGGTTACAGCACAAGAATGCAGATATACATATATATTGGATATATATATATATTCTTTTTCTGATTCTTTCCTATGATATATTATTACAAGATATTGAATATAGCTCCATGCTTTACAGTAGTAGGTCCTTGTTTATTTATCTTATATAGAGTAATGTGTATAAATTAATCCCAAACTCCTAACTTATCCTTCCTT